AAAGTGAGGAGCCGAGCAAATACGAAGTGGTGTGGGTCGTAATGTCAAAAAAAAAGTGTGCAAAACACTTTACACTACGTGTCCGGTCTATGTGTTCTCTGGTTAGTGTTATTGCTTAATAACTATAACAATTTGCATGGTACGTGATTAAGCAATTCATCAGTTTTCACTTTTAGTTATTTTCTGGGCATTCACCCATCAAAAATATGATTTTTGTATGTTGAAATAATAAATTGTTTATTTATTGAATGGATATTTTTTTATTTCTTGCATATCGAAGATTTAATATACATATACAAATATTTTTTATATATGCATATATAATTCCTGTTATCTGTTCATTTGTTGCAGTGCTTTTGAGCTAGCTAAACAGTTCACGAACCAACCACATTCCAACTGATTCGTGGTTCTATACAATTGTTGTTGTCTGCTCAGATTTTAGTCTGTGTTTGGTTTTCCAGTTGTTAAGGACTGCGGTGCACGCGCTGCGTTGTAAACAAAACGACAAAATACCGTTTAAAATATTAAATATATAGCTTTAATACGTAGGACATGTTAAAAACGTTTAATAAAAAAGCTTAAGTTAACGGCGATTAGAAAATATCGAAACTTTTCACAGAGGTAAGTTTCTAGAATTCCATTAAGATTGTTGGAGCTCTACCTCACGTATTCTTGGTATTATTATTATTTATAAGCTTTTACTATAACGTATTGCGTACACATAAATAATACATTTAGTGGGTTTTCAACATATTGACCATAGTTTCAAGTTTCGTACTTATAAAGAGAGATTTTAAGATACTTGCTTGAGTTTTTAGGGTTGTCAGGTGGCTCTATGGCAGCCGGTAAATACAATAATACTTTAGTTTATCTGCCAAATGGTCAAATGTAAACAACGAAACCGATTTATGATTGGCATATCTTTGTGTTGTCCTTTCACCTTACACGTGTACTGCGGCAGATAATACGCATATGTGAGATTTTATGATGATGGCAACCCTATTGTATACCATGTGCATGGCAATTAGTCGCATAATCATGAATTAACGCCCATATTTATATATATAAACGCAAACTAAATAATATATATACTAACATTATGCTTTGCCAATACTTGGCAGCCCTAATGATATTAAATTGTACATTAAAACGAATGAAAACTGTTGCCCCGTCTGCAAGAGTGGCGTTTGCCACTACCCGACTAGCTAAATGTGTCTGTCTGGGATCGATAGATATTTTTGCTATAATATCATATAGTATATAGTTGCGCTGCATAGATCTGTAATATTCCCCGGGGCTTAGGTGTTTTTCAAACTAACCTCACTTTACATTAAAATCGATACGTAACCTAAAAAGAATGTGAATGCGCTGCAAAATAATATACACATACACGGACACACTCACACACACGAATCTTGTTATACATACACACAGACGGCTAGTTAAGCAAACGCAGGTTTGGCTGTGTGCGTGTGTCTGTGTGTGCGAGAGCGAAACAGCTATAATAGACATAACTCCCAAGAAAAGTTCAAACATCATTCCGTTGCCGTTGCATGTACATATGTACCTATGAAAAATATATTATTATGCATCCAAAGTTGGCCATGCACAACATATTTATCAGTTAGCAGAAAATAAATAAAAATAAATTGAATTTTACTCTCATTTTATTTCTATAAATAGACAGAGAAAGCGAAACGAAGAGTATAATATGTCATATATATGTACATATATAGATATATCCAGAACATAATCGTAGTCAATTAGTACCGATTTCTATATCTTCTATACCCGACCCCAGACCAGTTTCTCCCGATTACTTTTAGATGTCTAATATGGCTGCCGACGCCTCAAAAAGAAAAAAAAAAAAATACTTTTTTCGCTTCTGTTTTAGTTGCTGCTTCTCACTGTGCTGCTGCGGTGTCTTTCAGTCGGTACGGCTCGTCGTACGACTTTGTCGTTCGGCTCGGAACAAAACTTTTATTTTTCTTATAGATTACTTACATATAAATTTACCATATATATTATATTGTATGTATGTATCTACATATTTTTACCTCGTATAAACGTTATATTGCGTTGCTGCCTTCTCGCTCTATCTCTCTCTCTCTCTCTCTCTCTCTCTCTTGCTCTCTTGTTGCAAGCGCTTACGCTCCCTCCCACTCCCCGTCTCTCTGGAGTGCCTTAGACCTGTTCGAAAACCGGTATCCTGCCAAAAGTCCTAGGCACCATCTCAAGTCCTAAAAAAGTGCGGATCTTAGACTAGACGCGAAAATTTGCCACCTACCGCCAGCTTTCCTTCTCCCTCCCTCTCTCTCTTGCTCTCTCTCTCTTTGTGCTGCTCTCTTGCTGCGTACGTTTGCATTGCATTAACACGTTTTAATTTACATTTCTGTTGTCATTTTTCTATACCAGATAATAGTTTAATTTATCCTCTCGACCTCCCCCCTTTCCCCTCTGACCCGTTCACAATGGCTCCCCTCGTCTACCTCCCCCTTGCCTTTCGACCTATACCTACGCAGATACATTGTAATGCATAGAGCTGTACCGCTCACACGCACAGCTTACTCGCATCAGCCATCTCGCTCGCACAATACGCAGCATTGCTCGTTTTTGTAAAATGCCAATTTATGGCAACTTTAATTTTTGGTTTTGCTTTGCTTTTGTTTTGTGTCTTGTTATTGTTGCTCTTCCGTTCCATTTTCTTATCGGCATTTGGCGGAAAACCTATAATGGCATAGCCGAAGATCCCCTCTTTCAGCAGTAGTGCTACTTCAACCCCTCTACCTGCTCTTCCATAGATACTACTCACATAAAAACAATCTTTCAGGGCTGCCAACTTGCTGAGAAAACTCTTTCTCTAATTTACGAAACTTTACATAAATATTGACCTATTTTAGAGCTATCCAATATCAATTGGCTTTTCTTATGTATTTTATATACATACATATCTAGTATTTATATATATAGTTGCCAGCATGGCTGACGTCGCAGCGCATTTGTAGTTAGGGGTCTCACGCACCGTGGACGCATTCAAGATGTGACATTACGAAAAATAAAATGAGAAAATGAAAACTTTTGGGAAAAATGATTATAGAACGTTATCAGAATCCAATTTGACACGCCCTAATCCAGCAGTTAGGTCGCTGCCCCCTAACCATGCCCACTCGTACGCTCTCGCTACCTTACTCTCACATCTCGTATTGCTCTCTCTCTCTCATAATTTAAATGTCGTCGTCGTTGCCGTTGCCCGTCAGCTGGTTTTTTGCGCTCGCGTTCGCGTTCACTTCGGCCACTGTTTTAGTGTTGCCTTGAACTCGCACAGAAATCTAGTTACAAATAATTTGATTTCTTTCGAGACTAGTGTAAATTCGTTGCAAGACGTAAACGTGAAATCAATCTGGTCTAGATTGAGCATCGTGTAAGTCGTTTATATAATATTTTTGCAAACTCGCTTCTACCTAACCTCACTTTTGCTAACTAAACTTAAATTTTGGTTTATCGAAAATCGCTTCAATTCTAATTCCTCAGAATTGACAACGGTTTATTTTGTCTGTTGATTTCATTTCGTTTCGTTTCTATGCTGGCTCTAAGCATTTATCACATGTTCCTGCTTTATGCATGCTTATTTCTCTTCTTCTTCATCTACATTTTGTCGCTGTTCGCTTTGCATTTGTGTTTCGATTGCAGACATCTCTTGCGCTGCGGCCTCTCGCTCTCTTTGTTGTGCTTGTTGTTGTTGTTCGCGTCGGCAACATATGTACGACCGAACAAGCAACCGACCGTTCGAACGTCCCGAACGACCGTCCGACTGAACAACAACCACACCGGTTAGGTATGCCGATTTACGGATACATACCGAAACCCATAAGAGCCTCTATAAAATTACGCGAAAATCAGTTGATATATGTATACTATATACACTTAGATATATCTATCTGATTAATACAGTTTATATAAAAGCTTAACTCAAATAGAGAGATTCGTTTCTCTTTAAACTTCTCTTTTCCTCGAAATCCCTCATTTTTTGCCCATCCAAACTTTCATATGGGTTCTCGATATAGAAACCCGGTTCAGCTGATTTCCAAATGTAGTTTCATTTGATTTGCGTTGCTAGCAAACACTACAACGAAAAGCTTTTTGGCGAGCTTTTAGCAAAAAGCTTTCTATTCATCATTCATTAATTTTTGAAGAGGGAGTCGTTGCATTAATTTATATAATTTACTCTAGGTCAATTATTATGTTAATCTAGGATTGCCACACTGTGCTAACAGTGCTGCCAGACCGCCTACGAAATCTATTTGCCATAATCTTCAATTCTCGTTTCATTTCAGTTCAATGTGTTCCAACTGAGGGCAGACTATAAAACGCGCGAATATGATGGAAGTAACACAGAACGTTGAATTAAGAGAGCTGCCGACAGAAGATGACTTAATAAGAAGTATCACCGAACTGGACCATAAAGGTGATAAGCTCTCCAGCCCTGGTATGTGCGCAACCTATAACCGTTGAATTTGGCTGAAAATAAATAAAGATTCTCTTTTAGATATTAATACAAACATGGGGAGCCGCAAGTCAACTATCGATGAGGAAATTCAGAATGGATTGTCCGTTGACATTCTAGATAACGACATTAAGGCAACGTCGCCTATCGATAGTATCGGCAAGAGTGATGATCACGATGCCGACAAGGACTTGCCTAGGGAACACAATGCCGGCACAGATCTGGATGCTCTGCTGGACAAGATTAGTTCGATCGTAGACTGCGATCGTAAGGACTCTATCGATGAGGATGATGTTACAATGGGAGATAGCAGCATACCGATTTCGGCCGATAACGATAACATTGCAGAAGACAACACTGCGATCGATGAAACAGAGACAAATGTGATCGGCGCCGAAGCAAAGCAAAAGGAAGAAGAACAAAAAAACAGCGTGGAAGAGCTTAATAGTTCTGATCTACCTAAAGTCGAGGAGAAACCTGAAGAAGAACGGGAAGAGAATTTAGCGGAAACTAAAGATAAACAAAATATCAATGAAAGTGAGATCGGTGCAGCAGTGAAAGAGGATGTACCGACTGATGAAAATATGTTAGATGATGAAACGGAAGAAAATGCTAACAAGGATCCGAAAGTCACAAAAACAAAAAAGTCGCAAGAGGAATCTGGAGAAATAAATTCGAATGATGATGTCTTCTTGGATGCTTTGGAGAGCATCTCTAGTTCAGATGAGTTTGAAGCAGCGAGCAATGAGAAAACTGTAAAAACTGATGAGCCAGTTCCCAAAGAGCAAAGCAACCATGGCTTAGACAACATAACCTCAGATGAAAGCTTTGATGGAGATGATAAGACGGATGCTGTCGGTGAAAAAGCAAATGGAGAGGCCTCAATTATTGATCTCGACTCATCTGATGATAAAACAATTGATACCCCTGCGAAGGAAGATGCAGCAGAAGCAGAGACGGAAATGGAGGTTGACAAAACTGAAGAGGAAGAGGAAGAGAAAGAGCTGAGTGACAAAACATTAGAAAATAAGTCGGCGGAAGCTGAGGAAGTTTGCGAAGAGAAAACCAAGACAGATCCAGAGGTGGACAAAGATGATCCCGAGCCATCGGAGAATAAAGTTGAAGAGCCGACCGAACCGAAGTCCAATGGAGTCTTGGACGACGAGTGCGAGAAGAAAGTCGAGCAAACGGAAGAGCCGGCGACGAGCAAAGCTTCAGAGAACATTGTAGCTGAGGCAAAGGATGCCGAATCAGATGATGAGGTGATCTTTTTCGAGCCGATTGAAAAGACGGGGTCGAAAGAGAACGAAACAGGTGAGAGTAAAACGGAAGCTATCAAAGATATGCCAGCGGCTGATAAAAAGGTCGAAGAGGTTGTACTGTTGTCGGAAGACGAAGACGATCAGCCGCCTGAAAAGAAACCTTCGAAGGCTGTAAAAACTGCTCCGACTAAACCAAGCGAATCGAAATTGAGAGACTTGTTAGCTGACAACTCAGACAATGCTTGCGATCAGTTTGAGAAACAGAAAACGCTGGAGAAACCGAAAGTTGTCTTGGGTGAGGACGGGAATAGCAATTCGAGCAATTTGCTACAGCCCTCACATAAGAGCAGAGATGAGACACCGGCTGAAGCTGAAGCCGAAGCGGAACCTGCTGCAGAGGCTGATGATGGCGACGTGGAAATGGTGGCCGATGAGCCGGAGCCGGATGAGTCGGAAGCTGTCATGCCTGCGGTCAAGCGCTTGCGTCTGAGCACCGACGAAAAAGTAGAGGCTAGCAACAGCACCGCCACAGTCTCCACCACTACCAGCACAGAGGAAGCAGCACCCGTCGTTGCCAAACGCAGTCACAGCCTGCTGGCCAGCAACAGTCCCGCAGAGAAGGAGGATATACCTAGCAAGAAATTGAAAACGGATGACTCCGATTCGAATAGCTCAAACGATGGCACACTGCAAATTGATCTGGATGCTCATGATAATACCCAAGAGTCGGAAGAATCAACAGCAGCAGCTACCGAGCCAGCTAAAATCGAGCACGACGAGAAGACGGAGTCAAAGGAACTGGAGTACGACCTCAAGCCCAAGCCGCAGCTGAAGAAAGATGTCAAGCCGTTGCGCTTGGAGTTCTTGAAGAGTTTCCGGAAGAGTTTCGACAAGATGACGCGTCAGGATCTGGAAGAGCTGGTGCTGCAGAAGATCGTCGAGAGCATGCTGGTGAAGAGCGAATTTTCGGAGATACGGCGCCAGATCGACAATCAAGAGAACACGCTGGCCAACTATCGCCGCAAGATAGCTGAGGTCTCCAAGCAGTTTCTCGATCTGGAGACGGTGCACAAGCGTGTACTCAAAGATCTGGAAACGAAGAATGCTCAGTTTACGGCGCCGGTGCGCATTACGCGCGCTGTCGGTCTCCAGGTGGGCATGGCCCTCATGAAGAAGCCCAGCGAGGAGGCGGCACGCAGCCACGCCTCCGGCTGTCATACTGCGGGCAGTATGCAAGCGGCGACAGCGACAATGCCAACGCCACCAAAGGCGAGCACCTCGCCAATGCGATCGTCCATGCGTGCGCTGCCACCGCCACGACTCAGTCCGCCCCAGCATCAGCAGCAGCAGCAGCAGCTGCAACAGCAGCAGCAGCAGCAGCATCAGCATCAGCTGCAACAACAGCAGCAACTGCAGCATCAACAACACCAGCAACAGCAGCAGACACCGCCATCGATTTCAACGCGACCCTACGTACAGACGAGCGGCGGTGGCACGCCGCCGGTGCGTCGTGGTTGCATGCAGAAGGTGACGCCACAGCGGCCTGTTAACAACACGCCCAGCAGTCATCAGGCGAGCACCTCCGGCCAGGGCATGCAGCGACTGCCAAGCACGCCAAATGTCCCAACGCGTTCCATGTACGCGTCGAAGCACACGGGCAGCGTGACATCTGCGACGGCAGCCGCTGTTGCCGCAGCTATGCGAGCGCGCGGCACTACGGCTAAGCCCATAACCAAGGACTATCCCAGCTCCTACATGGCACAGAAACAGCAACAGCAGCAACAACTTCAACAGCAACAACAACAACAACAGCAGCAGCAGCAATCTCCATTGCCGTGAGTAACAGCTCGACTTTTCCCATCAGCTGGCAACAACTAATCCCCTTTTCTCTTCTCTTTAGCGTTCGCATTGGTCGCAGTCCGGGCAAGCAGCCCATCAACATCAACACCAAGGCACGCCCCATGCCCACCGTGTCGGTGCCCATGTCAAGTGCCACGGATAGTGGATCAAGTGGTGCTGGCTATGGCCAGCCCAGTCTAGCGCCTGCACGACCCAAAGAGAAGGCCGTCATCGATCTCACAGACGAGGATGATGCAGCGGCTGCTGCTGCCGCAGCTGCGATGGAGGCCAGCGCTAATTCGAGACTGCGACAAACGTTAAATGTGCCCGCCAAACGCAACATGCAAACGTCGCCCATGGGCGGCAGTACACGGTCCGGCGGAGGCAGCGTGGTGCGCGTCTCGCCCATGAATATACCGCGTACCAATGCTGTGGCCCGACAGATTGTCAATGGACCAGGTAAATTACACAAATATTAGGAATTCGTAAAGCGCTCATTAAACTCATTTCGTATTGCAGGCCAAAGAGGATCGACTGGCTCGAATGTTAGCATGCAGATGCGGTCGGAGAATACGCCGCCGAGTGGATCGCGTGCACGTTTATCGCACCCTGCACCGTTACCGCTGGCGCCGGCGCAGATCAATCATCCGGATTGGAAGCTGCCGCCATCACGGCCCGTCATACGCATCAGCTTGCACGACACGGGCATTGTCATCTCGTGGACACTGGAGGATACGGGCAGTCGATTTGCCGAGTGCGTCACGTATCAGATTTATGCTTATCAGGAGACGATCAACGAGCCCAGCACCGACTCCTGGCGGCATGTGGGCGACGTGAAGGCCATGCTCCTGCCCATGGCAGTTACGCTGAACCAGTTCCAAGAGAATCAGCGCTATTTCTTTGCCGTGCGAGGCGTCGATGCGCACGATCGTTACGGGCTATTCAGTTTGCCCAAGACGTGGTAATCGAGTCGTGTCCTTTGTTCATATGTATTCTTCAATCTTATTTTACTCTAGCTCTTACGCCTATTTATAACTTATTTATGCAATGTGACCCAAGCCTTAAGTTAAGTTTTAAGTTGGATAGTTCAGTTTAGTTTTCAGTTGAAGTTTTTTGGACTGTCCAAAACAATTTCTTTTAGCTAATTAGCATGTACATCACATTTATGTTCGTTCCTTAAGATATATATATATATATTTTTTTTTATTTAACCTGGGCAACCGCTAAAAACTGAGAGCCATTAATTGAATTTCCTTATCCTTAAGCATCCTCCCGCACCCATACTCTTAAGTTAGTATTAAGTTTTAGCCCTGAGGAGTGTTCTCAATGGATTTGATCAGACTTTACTCAACTCAACAAATGAAACGCAACAAACACGACTAATTTTGTTAACACAACTAAAAACTCTGTTTTAAGTTTAAAGGAAAAGTACACAATGAATGAATAAATATTATATTGAAACATTACAATGTATTTTTGTCATTGATTCAATTGACTTTCATGTGCATTTATTTTGATGGAGGTTTTACTTATATATACTTCTTATATTTTAGTTTTATTTTAGCTTCTATTTTTTGTAAGTTATGAAGTGAATGTTTTGAAAATTATTGAAAAATTAGTATGTTTTATTAAATAATATTTTACTGAGGAATTTCGAGAAGTTATAGTTCTTGTTAACTTGTAATAAATCGACAAAAATCGCCTTGAAAGAAATTCCTTCTCATTAACTCTCGATAATTTCAGTTTTTGTCTATATAATTCCATTTCTATATACATATAAGGTATTGTTTGTTGGTTGTTAAATTGCATGACAAATTTACAAGGAACATCGGAATATATAGAAGGCAAATAATCAACAACTACACTACCACTACAAAACTAGCTTCTCATGGTGTCATCAGTTCCAGCCTAACAGAATACGTACATTCTATGACGTAATACCTGAGGGTACTGCTATAATCTATGCACTTAAATTAGAAAATGTGTCATGCATATGGTTGGCGTAGCTATAAAAGAAACCTATATTAACTGTAAATTAGTCATGCTTTCGGATTAAAAAAAAATCGTTCATGTCTGACCTGAACTTAAATAGTCTGCTTCAAAAATAACTTAATGACTGTAATCCTTGTCGTTATGATGGGACAATTGAAGGTGAATGTGTAATGGCAATCAAAGGCTCAATTAGCATTTAATATGCCATTTATATGCTGTATATATATGTATATATGGATGAAAGCACATATCCTTGCCGGCCAGCCAAAGGACATACTCAACAAATTAGCACAAATTGATTTTCAGCTGGCTAAAAGAGTTGATGCAGGCCCTATTTCAAACATGCATGAGAATGCAATCGATGACACATAAAATATAGATAGATACTACGTACATTTCCGTGAGAGCCTGCTGGGGGTCGCTTGCAGCGGCGTTTTTGTCGTTGCCAATGCTGCATGTTAAGTGGGGGCCAGCCTCTGCCCCACCTACCTGTGCCTCGCCTCCTGCTCTATGGCACACTGCTTAAGTTGTCTGAATGGGGTATATTCAAACTGGCCCTGAACTTACTCTCTTTACTAAGATTAAATGGGGTATATGCAATTTTTTTGGGCAATACTCTTTCCTTTCTTTTGCTAATATCTTAAAATTTAGTAGATTCACTATACATATTTTTAAATATTTTTTAATAATTATAAATATATCTACAGTTACAGTTTGGAAAGCACTGCGTTGCACAGTGGAAGCTCTTACTGCCTTCTGTTTACTGTTTCAACATCTGCTGGTCTATGCAACTCTTGCCCTGCCACATTAACAGAGCATCTCGGCAGCAGTTCAGACTCAGGTGGTACTCTTCTTTAGTCTCCATTTTTTTTTTGTCATGTCAGCGACACCAATTGGCCGTTTGCACTTGACATTGGAAAAGCGGCGCAGGCAACGTCGCGACCTTTTTTCTTGTGGCCCTCGTCAGGGCTTTTTTTTGTTGATGTGCTGTGCTTCTTTTGGCTTTTTGCCTTGCCGCGTTTTGTGTCCATTCATGCGCTGCATGTGGCAGGGAGCGACGTGATTGGTGGGCTGCTTGCAGCAAAGGCAGCGCCACGTGCCAGCGCAATATTGAACGTTAGCCAAAAAACCTTGACATTAGGCGCCAAATGGCACCAGTGTGTGTGTGTGTGTGTGTTAGTGTGTGTGTGTCGGTGTCGTTGTCTGTGCTTGATGGTTGTTAAGTCATTGCATGCATATCCGGCGCACAGCAAACATTCTTCTTGTTGTTTTTTTCTTCTGTTTTGTCACTTTGTCATTTTAATTCATTTGCAGCTGAAATGTGTCGCAGAACATGTCCTGGCAGGACATGGTTCGTCCTGTTGTCATTGCCGCTCCAATTATTTGACAACAGCAACAAAAATTGTAAACGAATCTATATACAAACATACATGTATTTTAATTGAAATAACTGTTACACACACACGCACACCGAGCACAAATTTAATTGTTGTTGTTAGCTTCATTTCCGGGAAACGTCTTGGCAGCACACACACACACACATATATCAAGACACATGTGTGTGCCCACCACGCCCACCGCCTCTAACGCCAAGCATAACAAAAACACAGATGTTTTGTCAGCAGCTATCGCTCTCCGCGCACTGCGCACGCGTCGCTTGCAGCACGGCAACACTGGCAATTCGTAGTAGCCGCCGTGGCAGTTGTATTTTGCGGGCTTTGTTTGTTATTCGCTCGCCGAACGCGTCGCCTAACGGTTGTGTACCGCTACCAAATTCGCAACCCAACTGCATGCAACGCGCTACGTGCAACTAGCGGCGGCATGCATCGCGCTCTTAGACTAGATAAACGCGTGTTTTTTGTACTCTAAAACAAATGTAGTCGAAATATTAAATGAAATTAAATCGTGAAATTTAAGTGTGCTATTTAAAAAATGTTTTCACATATATAAATACATGAATGTAAAATAAAGTAATAGTAATTAACAAAGAATTTAAAATATAAAATATAATTAAATTAAATAGTGCAAAAGTAACTTTAATCCGGTGCGAAATTTGTTGAATAAAGTAAATGAGTTTACATTTAACAAAGCATAATAATCAATAAACCAATAATTTAAAAAAATATAAATTTATATAAACCTAAGCTATAAATTTTAGTTGAAATAAAAACATACAAAATCTAAAAGATTTTTGAAAATAAAAATAAAATCATATAGAATATATAAATCAAATCAAAAATGCATGATACATAATAAAAAAAAATATATAACTAAATAGAAACTTTAGACAGAAGGCATACAATAAAAATAAAATAAAATAAAATATACATAAATATAAAAAAAATAATTAATAAAAAAAAAGAATAGCATATAATAAACAAATTTATTTATGCATAAGAAGTAAATTTAAAAAATAATTGGAAGATGATAAATATATAAACAAAAATTTGTTGGTGGCAAAAATAAAATAATAATAATAGTGTGTATATTTATAAAAAAAAAATATATATATATATAATAAAAATAAATAGAAAATACAAAGTATAAAAATAAAAAAAGGCAAATTGGATTTATATGATTAAACAAATTTATTTTTTACTATATACGTTTATGGAAATGTATAGATGTATATAAATAAATATATATGAATATAACTAGAAAAAAAAATATATATTTAGTCTAAAAAAAAGACTTCCCAAACAGTAAACTAAATGTAATGAAAACCATAGAAGCTCTATTATAAACTTGCACTGTTTATATTATATATACATATATCATATATAGTTCTTTATAAAAATAAAAGCAGTTACTTGTTGTGCACATGAAAAGCAAACTTTAATTGAAATATCGATTACAAGGGCTAAAGTCGTCAATCTCTTTGTAAGTATAACAATGCCCCAAAGCGTGCCACACACCATATATGTACATGTGTGTGTGTGTGTGTGTGTGTGTGTTTATGTATGTTAATTAAATTACCGCTATATGTGCTTAACAACAATGCCAAAGCCCACAACAACAATAACACACAGACACACGCATACGCACACAAACACACGGCGTAACCTCCATTGCAAGTAATTATAAAAAAACATCAGCAGTGGCAAAGGCAACAACAACAACTAAAAGGCAACTAGCACACACACACACACGCACACCTATACACTGTAAAAACAATAACACATGAGCCCAATTTTCAGTCGCAACTTCAACTCGGCTAGCGACTCAGTTACATGTCTTGGCCCTGGCCACTTGCTGTCACATTTGTTGTGCATGTATTGGTGTGTGTGTTGTTAACTGTGCTATGCCTGTGTCTATTACTAGCCATAACCATTTGCACATAGCGCCTTACTATTATTAAGCGTCTCATTGTACAATGAGAGCGCACATAAGTATGCTACGCTTTCTGTAACTCGGCATCAGCCAGACACATGCTGTGCGTGTGTGTGTGTGTGTTTGTGTGCCTTTGTATGCTCTCAAGGTGCAATAAGCCAGCATAAGCCATGTTCATGTGTATGTTTTCTTATGTATGGCATGCAGCTTGGCCAGATTGTTGAGCTGAAAAGGCTTACCGACTCGAATCGATAGAATCATGTTCCCCTTTTCTTTTCGATTACACGTCTGTGTGTGAGTGTGTGTGAGTGTGTGTGAGTGTGTGTGTGTGTATGGTCTATCAGTCATCTAGCTAAGCCTTTGCAGCTTAAGCGACTCGCACTTTATTTTCATTTCATATTTGCCAGCAAATACTTTCCATGCCATAAGCTTTAAGACTCCAATTCAACATTTGTTTTAATGCAATGCGATAAGCAAATATTGTTTTAAGGCTTCAATATGTTTGCAATTATTACAGCTGGCTTATCAAAGTACCGTTGCTTTAACAAATTGTGCAAGCCTTGATTGATGATTTAATAAAGGGAAAATATTTTGCAGCAGTCGAATAAAGTATTTAAAATATTTATTTATTTATATATTATATTTATTTTTATTTTTTTTTTAATAAAGCAGTCGAATAAAGTATTTAAAATATTTGTTTATATATTTATTATATTTATTTATTTTTTT